TACATAGTCGTAAGTATGAACTAAGGGGGTTTTGGCTAACAGAAAAAAAACCCATAATGTGCTTTTCAGATAGTCAGGTGTCCCACTGATAAAATAAGTCTGATGAAAGAGAAAGGCACTTCAGCAGGCTAACTTACCTTCAGATTTTCCTAGTATGCAATGTTTCATACGCAGTACTAGACAATGGATGTAGTGCACTGCCCTTTTATTTGCACAGTGTTACATCAGTAGTATTATTAACCTGTTTCACTTTTTAACTAATGAGAAGAGTTTAGACTGGTGCCCATTCATCCCATCCTCTTTGGTACAAATCACTGCATAAAAACAAAGTAGACAACTAAACATTTTCATTCCTACATCCTGGATTATTTTTTGTGCATCATCCCTAGCTCTACATCAGTAACTAATGTCCCTAATCAACACATCAGTTGTGCTTTCAGGTTTGTAAGATACCAGAGTTCTTTTATTTTCTAACAGTACTACAAAGAATTTTTTCCTGTTAATCCAATGGATTTCTTAAGTGATCCCCTCCTCCTTTTTTTTAACTTCTATAACATGTGGCATTTGATAACAATCTGAAAATTACTGTCAATTAGCTTATTCTAGGTAACATATCCAGCTTAATGTGCATACAGCTGCACACTATTTAGCCTGATCACCTCCCTTGATTGATGATACATCAAAGTACTGACCTAAGCAACGTTAATTAATCTGCAGAATCAAGCTTTGGCCAACTCAGTTAACCACCTCAGAAAACCAGATAAGAGCTGGAACAGGTATAACCCTTCTGCAAGAAGAAACTCAACATCATGTATTGCAATCATGGTGGGGAAACTGTCCTGAGGTTTATTAACCACCTGTCACCTTAAATACACAACAAAATTTGGTCTTGAGTGTTCTGTATCTACCTAACACCTTCACTAAAAACTGTATGTACACTTTTTTTTTTTCCTCAAAAGCTGACAGCTCAAGAAGCTTTTTGTGAAGAGCCAAGACATAATTCTTGCAAACATTTGTGGTGTTCTTAAAGAATCAATTCCACCAAAGCACAAATACGTATCAGTTTGGAATCAAGCATCAGAAAGAAGCTCTGTCCTTTCCAATTTTCCCACTCAATGCCCTCTTCTTAGAGTGGGCTTACTTCGAAGGTGCTTCAGGCACGGCCCACTACTTCTTCTCAAAGTAATCAACCTTCAGATTCAAAGAAGTCAAAACCTCTGAATGTTTCCCCAATCTTTCCAAGAGCATTGTGCCACAAATCCTTGCTACTTATTTTTATAGACCTAATTTTAGCACTAGCCTTTCAGCGCTCTGTTCGTGCTGCAATACTGAGCCAACATGAAAAAAAAATCTTAAAAAATAAATTCAGTGGTTCCTATAAACTCTTATGTTGAAATCTTATAGAGAAATATAGAAAAGCATTAGTTTGACAACTAAGATAAACTCCATTATAATATTTTGTCTTTTCCACAAATGTTACACATTACGTATGGTTATGTCTGGAATTAAAATTTTTAGAATGCAGTGTAGTCAACCTCCTTTTTCTCATGATCTAAACCGAAAAAGAACTCCAGTTGCTAATAGGTAATACAGGTTTCCAGTGCATCAATTCCTACATACACTTGAACATGAAGACTCAGATAATATATTCAGCAAGTACTGAATATAAATATGAAGTATAATTCTAAAAATTTTAGAGTTATATAGAGTTTTTAAAATCTAAGATTTAATGCACATGACAGGGCCAAGGAAGAATTCCATGTCATTGTGTACTTAGGGGCATCAGCTGTTTTCACGTAGCATTTCTCTTTGCAGATACAACTGCAGCATTAACTTACCTCTACAGAACTGTTTTCTCATATTCTGACCCAGAAAACAAGTTAAGTATTTATTTTTAATATAAAACTTGACTCTAGAAAAGTTTAACACTTTTCAAGTGTTACCAGCAGCAAAAGACACTATGCAATAAATGCTAGCAAGTTACACACAGAGACATTGGCCTACATAGGATCTACAAAGCAAGCAAAGATAGTTGTTGCTTGACTCGCATGGATAGACGCCACAGCTAAAGACAGCTTTGGAAATAGTGTTACCAGAACTCAGCATGCCCTCTCCAGAAAAGAATTTAAATATTCTACTAAAAGAAATGCCTACACCCTCATCAGGCAAGGGAGGAGCTACTATCTAGTACAGATACCAATCCTGTATGTGATGAGATGCCTCTTTTTCAGAAAAGTTTATTCCATCTTTCTTCCTATGACTAAGCAGCCTAGCAGCAAGAAACTCTTGCAAGAAGATATGTTCCACTCTGACCTGCTTTGTTGGCTAAAAGCTGAAGGGCATCACTGATGCACAGCCTCTAAAGGGGCCATTTTGTACTATCATATGCGCAGAGTAAAACTGTGACTAATCCAGACAGCCAAAAGTTCCCTTAGAACAATGCTACAGAACCAAACTCTACTCTTGGCTCTTGACCAGCTAGCGAAGCAGACGAAAATCTGCACTACACCAGTATGCCTCTTGGCTCTGTTACTTTAAGTCCCAAAGTTACAAGTGATCTTTTCAACATTTCTAATCCTTTTTCTTTGGTGACCAGACACGTACTCAGATGCAGAACAAGAACACTGGAGCGCTAAACTATGATCCTTTGAACTCACATGAATAAAGCCATGTAATTTTAAATGATACAAGTTTGAGGAATTAACTTTTTGGTATACACAATGAAAAAAATGCATTGAAAAAATCTGCAATACAAGTTACTGTAGGGGAACAAAATTGCAAGTAGACACGTATCCATTTAGTATTAACACCTCGAAAACACTAGCTTTTCAGGGATTTTCTGTTATGTTCAACAGAATATAGAATCACAGAATCACAGAATGTTAGGGGTTGGAATATTCTCTCTCCAAGAACAGGGCAATATTAAACCTCAAAAGTCAAAGCAGCTTTCAGAAGAAAGGTGCATCTGCACTCAGAATATTTAATTTGATTTCTGCTAATGTATCTAACAAAGCAAAGGATGAAAATATCAATATTTGGGGCTAGGAAGTTAGTCATAACTAAAATCCGCACAAAAAAAAATCCAGTGGAACTGCATGCAGAAAAAAAGTATTGCATAAATGTATTTGGTATAGGAAAATTGAATTACAGGTACCTAAAAATAGCACCAAAGGCATGCTAATATGATAAGCCATCAAGCAGATGAATCATATAATTAAACCAGATACTTTTGGCCAACTATATAATTATAGACTTTTTTGCATACCTACCTCAAATTTGTTTTGCAGTTTCATACCTGTGAACTCAATAGGAACATCATCTGTTGCTCAGGAAGGAACTGCACACCAGAAGAAGCTGGACTGATGCATTGCTAGTACCATTCTGGTTACCTTGCACATTCTTCTAGAAACAGGACCAGACAACTGACAATCCCAACACAGACATATTTCACAGTAACATTTCCTGAGTAAATATTCCCAGAAGCCCAGCTGCATAGGATATTTCCCAACTCTTGAGGGCACTACAACAGGGCAGACAACCCTCAGACAACTCAGGTAGAGGCACTGTATGTTTGGGTCTTGGTACAGAACCTTAACCAAGTTTTAAGGGAAATACTTACAAAGCTCTTTTAGGATGATTTATAATCAAACCGCCAAAGCCAAAATGCTAGAACTTATTTCATCAGGGAAACAGCTTCAAAGCCACAGAAAGACATTCTACACACTACATGAAGCACATTAAGGGATGCATCTACTTTTCTGTTAGCCAAAGTTGAAACGATCACTTTGACAAGATGAACATTAAAAATAAAGAATATTCTGATGGCCTTTTCCTTCCTCTATACATATCTTAGTTACATTTCATGCATTCATGACTTTTGGTAAATTTAACTCTAAGATGAGTCATAAGTAGTATTTATATTGCATTACAGACCAAATTTTGCAAACTCCTCTCATGCTCATAAAGCCCCCCAACTTTTAAAGCTTATTTAATCCCTCTGCGATGCACAACCTAGACAAAAGTAGCTCAGGTCGGCAAAATGTAGGCACATAAACTTCCAATGATCTTCCACTTTTTTTTTTTTAAACATAAAATAAAAAGCAACAGCGCCAAATGTTCCTGCTAAATGAAACTATTTCAAAGGCATAATTTGTCTAAACTTGCATACTTTTTCATTACGGGCCAAACTCTAACTTACAAATCTGCAGGGGTTCACGACCATTTGTGGGGCTCAACCGGCCCAACAGCATGCAGAAGAGAAGATTTTAACTGACGACAAAGCCAAAACGAGACACTGGGATCAGTAGTAGCAGCAGCTCTGAATGCTGCCAGCACCCGTCCTTTTCTGCTGGATGGGGACACTTCACAGCAAATGCCAGTCTTCAACGTCCACAGTTCGTAACAAAGCAGATGAAAACAATGCAGATGGGAAACATCTTATGACAGCAGGGAGAAGGAACAGCAGCAAGCTGATAAACCCAACAGAGCTCATCTGCTGGTGTCGTGGGACTAACTGATGAAACATGTTACGTTATACAAAGAAGTAGTAACAGATCCCTAGAAAAGTTCACATACAAAATACTGTACAGATGGTCACATTGATTAGGAACAAGGCTGAGGAATGGCTTTAACTAGTCTACCAATGCATTAGCAACAAGTACGAAAAAATTAAAACACGTGCCTACATTTCTCACCGTGCATTCCCAGAGGTGAGTCCAAGAATGACAGGCTAATTAAAATGTGGGCCTTCCCTATACTGCCAGAAAAATTACGACCTGGAAAAGTTTTAATAGTAGCATTTCCCTGTTTTCCATTCACACTGAGTATCAATTGCCCAGCTGAAGTTTAGTAACTCTGTATCTTAAAAAAAAAAAACAATGTAACTTTTCTTGATACTAGAAAACAACACTCCCCTTGTAAACCCAACACTGCAGAATTACAGAAGCAGCCAAGAGGTCAATAACCAGCAGGGAGAGCAACACCACAAAGCACATTGTGTTTTAATTTATAGGAATAAGTGGCCTCTCCTCTCTTTTCTTCCAGATATTGGTTTTGCTATCTTTTTTTGTGATAGACGGTCTATCCCTTTTTTTAGCGGAAGGAATAGCAGATTCATGAGTCCCTGACACAGTTTTTCTTCTTAGACCTTCTTCCTCACGCTGTTCTATGACCTGCCCGTTCCCTCCATCCAGAAGGTGCCTCACAGCCTGGTCCTCTGGAGTGCAAACAGTGGTCCCACTTTCACTGCTGCTCAGATCCAGATCTTCCAAGTAAAGGATCTTAGAATGTGGCATATTTTTTATGAAAGTTTTCTCTCTCTCCAATTTCCTACTAGGATGATGCTCATTCATGTCCACACCAGAGTCCAGACTGGTATCATTACTCTCTGTTTTTCTGCCCTTTTTCAGATCTATGAAAGAATGCCTCACTTGAGCGATCGGCTTTCCATCCAGGGACACAAACCATGCTCGAGGGTGCGGAGATGGTTTTCCTTTAGAGAGTTCCAATAATGTTTGTTCTGAAATACCTTGAAGTTCAGATGAAAACGGAGTCATTACAACTGCTTCATTTAATGTCCCAGGAACAGAGACAGATTCCAATAAGCTATTAGTGTACCGGCCCCAGTTCGACGTTTGAGAAGGTAAGCCCTCTTCACCATCTAACGTACTGTTTTCATCTCTGCAGACAGAAGGCTGTGGATGAGCATGCACTGGCATTTTTGGTAACGTTTGCATGTAACTGTCACGACCCATGGGTTCCATCATGGGGCTATATACTAACTGCCCTTTTCTTGGCAAAGTGGCTGATTTAGCAGGATGCAGCTGTTCTGGGGAGTGGAAAAGGTCAGAGGGTTGAAGAATAGCAATAGGTTGATTGTAAATATGCATTAAATGTTCTGGGATATGGGAAAGCCCATACATCTCCTCTTTCAGTGAAAGGTATCTGTTTTGGTCTTGAAGGTCTCTAGGAGCCTGGGAAATGGTACTGTTACTATGCTTTGGCTGCTGTAAGTGCCTAACCCCAGCATTAGGTTCCAATGAATGGGCTGAATTTCTTGACTGACCAGTCTGACAGGTTGACTGATAAGAAGCATCCTCAGTGTAGATTCTGAAATTGTCTCGTGATTTTCCATCTTCCGTGTCTACGGACACCCTTCTTTGAGGGCTGTATGAAGAAGTCTTCGGTGTATATAACTGTGACTTATCCTCCAACTTTAAAGGCCCTTTGACAGCATTGATGTGACTTATGTGAGTTGTTGATGTTGTCTGGTCTCTTTTTATGACCTCCAGCTTAGCTGTATTTTTTTCCTTCTTTCGCGTCTGACCACATTTATCCCTATGCAAAAGAGAAGCAAGGTGACTGTAGAACATACTAAGAAATACTAGACTGTTGACTACCAGAGCTGAAGAGTAGATTTTTGTTAAAAAGTTTAGTGTTATGTGACATCAAACTTAAAATGAAGTCCTATAACAACTGTAATTTTTCAAGAAATATCAGGCTACGCATTACAGTTTAGCTAAGGAAACAAGTCTCAACTTCAAAAGACTATTTTATCAACCTTAAATTCCATTCATGCTGAGCTTATTAGAGGCTCTCTTTTTGCTTACCTGCAGTAACAAAGAAGAACAGCAAAAAATCCAATGATAATGACAACGGTACCTCCCAGTATGGCCGTAAGGAACACTGTGTGATAGGCTGTTATGTCTTTGGAAACCGCAGTAATAATGGATTCTAGATTGTTGAACAAAACCAGACAAGAATTAGTTCTCAAAAACAAATAATTCTGCTTGACATGCAGAGCTGTAACTAAATTAAACTGTACTTTTCCAGTGATTTTGTGTTCCTTCAGTATTATGTTCACACTTCCTTTTCACATCGGTATTTGTGCTAACTAGAAAAATACACGAACAGTAGTTAAGATATAATGGATCTTCAAAGGCTCGTCTCAAGTACCAAAAACTTACCATGACATCTACTCAATTCCAGTTACCTTACATTTGTATTGGCTGTCCAAACTGTCTTAGAAATATGGTCTACATTTTCTATTTAGTGCTTCTGTCAGAAAATGCTACCTGTTTTTAAATTCTGACACCATATTTCTCCTACAAGAATCTGAATTTGCAAAACACGCAACAAGTCTACAGAAGACAGAATCCACTGGGACCGTTTTACCCAAGACTAATTTTCTTGTTGGATTTCCTTCTCTCATACACGACCTTCAACAGTAAGGGATACGGTCCTGCTGATTTTTAGATCTCCATAGTCACAGTTTCCTTACAGGCTTATTCCAAAAGATGGCAATTATATAAACATGTAAGCTCTTACACCATCTGGACATTTCCCCCTACAGCATTTGAAGTTCTAGGAAATGGTTATATGCGCAAAGGCACACTATCGGGATTCAAACTCGAGTTACCCAACTTGAAATTGCATGTTGTTTCTACCTTTGTTGTTAAATCAAGCCACCAAACTGACAGCCTTAAGATACATTGTCACTTAGGCTAGGCAGTAATTTCCTTGCCAGTTGCAATACCTCTTGTTCCAGGCAGTGGAGCTGCTATCCAGTAGCCTAAGTGTTGAGCAGTATATGTCCACACTAACTGACCATCTGCTTCCTTTACCATCCCTAGCCCACGGCTCACCCAAGCACCTGAAAAGAAAAAAAAAAAAAAAAACAAAACATTGCACATGCCATGCAGGATTCTTCTACACCTCAAACCATTAGCAATTAAGCTATTACCAAAAAATACACAATGTCCCAAGAAAAACATGAACTTCTGACCTATACACTATTTATTACACAGCTTTAGCTAAATGTGCAAACTTTCTCTTTTGACAATTTTATTGCAAATATCCCTGTGTGGATATTTACTTGCAAACAAAGCATCAACATTACTTACCTAAATTAATAGAATTAATTTTCTATTAACAGATGTCTTCCATAGATATGCACACAAATCATTTGAAAAATCCTATTATATGAGCTTAAGCACGTATGAAGGCCAAGACTAAAAAAAAAAAATCAAGGAGCAGGTAATTTAGGTATATGAATAAATGTTTACCATTAGCTGACAGCACTTAGTGGGAAAGCATTTTTCGTCTAATAAACTACAACAGGATAAACAATATTTGTCCTGAATGTTCCTCTCCTCCTCCCTGCCCCAAGGCAGGAGCAGTTCAGTTAGCCCAAGGAAGATCTACTGTTAGGACACAGATCCCACGCCATCTGTTTGGCAACGCAAAGGACAGGTATTATGGTATGCCAGCTTCTACAAGTAATAAAGCATGCAGTAGAAAAGACAGAATTATACTCCATGTACTTGAACACATTTACTGTGTGCCATCTGTGAAATTCTAAGGACCGAAAACAACCTCATATAAACAACCTTGCATTTTGAAACTGCAGATACTGAGAAGACAGAACCCTAGCTTTTTTAAAACAACCACCACCAAGGCACACAAAAAGTATAACTCCTATAAGCCCTATAATTTTATTTTCCTCCACGACCCTTCTTTCAGCAAAGCAAAAAGGAAATATCTACCAGACAGGAGGTAAAGATGAGAACTGACACACACCACATATGCACTCCTGCACAGACACGCACAGAATATCATTCGGCAGTAAAATTTGCAGCCATCCCCCGGTACTTGTGACGGCTGGCAGAGGGGAACAGCAGCAGCAGCCACCTCAAGACCCGCAAAGAGGTGGTTTCTCAGTTACCTGGAAGACCTCTTTGCCAGACTCCGGGGCGACACCAGCCAGAAGAGTCTCCCAACCCTAACTCTCAAATGGAGGCAACAACAACAGATCCTCAGATTCTCTATCCTGTCAGCTCTAGGGCAAAACATCACCATACCGCAAAATTATTGTTTTACAAGTATAGAGGGTGGGCTACTTACAGGCAGATAAAAAAAACAACATAAAACATCACATACAGAATGCAAAAAAAAACTCTAGGTCTCCAGAAATTTTATCCTGACTACACAAAGCTATAAGACACTGTATAATCTTTTCTGTCCTCCTCAGTAAATTTTATCTTCCCCCCAATATACTCCATAGAAAGAGACCAGGTATTAAGAAAAACATTAAAAAGTGATTTATGAGTAAGCACATATTCTCTATGATTTACTGCCATTCAAACAGAAGGCTATTGTTTTCAATTTAATGTCACAATGCAAGCTTTCTCTTTCCTTTTTTCTTTTAATTCTATTGAAATCCACACAGCACTTTTAGTACAAAATATTTAGTAAGAAGGAAGCCACATTCAATATATATCAATGAACGCTGCATTTACAGCAGCTGGGATATAATTACAAACGCTCATTTTCCGGGAACAGTCTCAGTACTATCACACTTTAAGTAACCCCAGGGAACACTGCACAAGCAGACATGTGAAAGCAGTTTATCCTTTTTCTGGTGCAGAGGATCAGTCTACACAATGTGAAGCACAGACCTGTTCCCATACCACTATCAGTACTGACACAGAAGCTCTGGTTACCATTATGACATATTACCCAAGGACTTCAGAGTTTAAAAGTGCATGTTAGCTTCTTGCTGGGGACCTCCTACATGCAACATCTTGGATGCCAGAGCCTCACTATTCAATGCATTAGTAGATCTCCATTCAGCTCAGATGTGGGCCTACTGCTACTTACGGACGCTCTCAAATGCTTGCTGGAGAGCTGAGGGGTTCAGCTGTCCTCCGTCACTAGAACCTTGACTAACGAATGCTTGCTATTACTCAGTTACCTTAGAAAAAGGTCATTTTGCACATGCCAGATCAAAGGGAAAAATAAAAGGTATTTAAGAATTAACATCCAGAACACTGAATACTGTTGCAAATTTTCACTGTAGAGAAGAGAAAGCAGAAAATGTGGAAGTTGAAGTTCTGCCCAAAAAGTCTCCCTCATTTCCTGCAGTCCTCCTTGTCCTCTCCTCAGCAAGCAGCAATGCAGGCTCCATGCGACCACTACACCTCATTGGACACCCATCACAAACAATTTTCCTTTATAGAACCTCTACCAGAGTACGCCCCATCTGAGAAGAAAAAAAATGAACCATTTTCACTGAAGTTCTTTTGTCGGGTCAGCATGCCGTGCTCCTGCTCTTGCTCTACCCCCAAGGCCAGCACATGTATGTAGGCATGTTGAGTGGGCCCCTCAACACCCACATACCTATCGTACACTGGTTTACACTCTAACCTGACCCAGTGCCAAGCTGCTCTAGTTCTGTCAGCTTTTTATTTTGATAATATTGTTGACCTAGTTTTCTGTTCAGTGAGTTAAAACAGCATAGGCACAGATGAGCACAGCAGCTGGCAATGGCAGCTGTGGCAGCAAGAAATTAAAATCCCTCATGCTATTTTACCATGGCAGATTAAAACCCTTACTTTGACCAAGAACCTTATCTCTTCACACCAGTTCCCCATCTGAAGTCTTCCAGGTGTATAGGCAGACTTAATCTTCTATGCCAAAACTTCTTCTATGCACTCTTTTTCCCAAGAGAAAACCTTGCCATTTTTTTGTTGGCATATTCTTAATTCAAATTCATGTTCTTTGGTTGTTCTTCATTACAATGATCAATTTCTTTATTGAACATGTAAACAACACTCTTAGAGTTGGTGTCTTCTCCTGTACTTCCAATTGTTGAATAACAGCTTTTTGCCTTAATAAGGAGTAAAACTCTTATCTCTCGACTCCCTTGCATATTTCAAGATGAAGTGTGATAGAAAACATTAGGTACAACGTAAGACAATCAGTACACCAATGCACACACACCTAATATGGGACATCTAAATGGAGGAAGTGTATGTAGCTCATTACTCACTCACGACTAAAATTAGACATGAAGGGATGACAAAAGGTTCAGAGTGTCTAATCCCCAGCCTCCTCTTCCCATGCATACTGTAAGAGCTATGCTGCTCCCTTTGATAGCTCCGATTTCCTCTCCATTTCACTTTCTAAATTGCTTTTGTTAACTACAGTCATAACTGTTCTAGTTTTACTGTCAAAGGATCTTTAGAGCCATACTCTCGGAAACAACGCATCCAAATCTTCAATTCTGATTTGTTTTGTTTTAAGAAGGCATTCACAAAATTCCCAGGCTTAAAAATCGAACATCACCTAAAATTTATGTTCCCTGCATCCTTAGCCTCCCACGAAAACAAAAATCCATCACATCAAAAATTTGTTCAATAGCTATTTTAATGAATTTTACCAAAGCTTTTCCAACTACTGAAATCAGAGAAATTCCTTTGAACAATTCAAGCTAGTCAGTCAAAAAACAACACCGCATTCCTAATAAAATTTGTGACTATTTACCACCACTCCATATATTAGCACCATCACTGTTACATGACACTATTGTCATGTGCCCAAAACTATACACATGTGCTAACAGGTAGAACAAGAAATAACTTAGCCCACTTACCAGTTTTCATATCGAATGTCCACGCAGGTATAGCATCTCCTGATTTTACAGTGCTTGTGGGAATAGGAAGTGTAATCTGAATGGGACCATTTACTTTCAGTTCTTTCCCAGCCAAAAGAACATTTACACATACTGCAGCAATAGGAGTCAATTCCATGCTCTTGAAACCTGAATGTGAGAAACATCCTGTCTGTAATTCTCCATTCACTGTGTACTCTTTAAAAAGATATTTAGAATTAAGAATATACCCTCATTATAACTAAAGGCAAGCTCTCATTCACATCCAGCTACATTTACTTGTCACCAACTTTGTCAAATAAAAATCAACATTTCTTCTCCTCTGGCCTTTTCAAATCTTGTGGTTAAAACAAAACCCAGTCATTTCTACACCAAATCTGTAAAAGAGAAACAGTCTTTTGACATGTTGACTGACTGTTGAACCCATGATCAGGCAAAAGTTGGCCTGAGGATGGGGGAAGAAGGGTTTTCCCCCCCTCAGGTAATTTGATTCCAAAATAGCAAACCTATGCGACATATAAGTAAATGAAAGAATTTTTGTATAATTACAATATATATAACATTGAATCAAACTGAAGACGTATGCACATGTATGACTGCTGTGTTTCTCCATAGGCGAACAGCGCTCTTAGTAAACTTTTCTGTAAATTTCTAGTTTGGCAGTTATAATTAACTGAACTTAATCATGAGGCTTGTCAAAGCACTCGAAGGAAACTTCGCATATACAAAGCTTTACACTGCAGCCTGAAAGTTTATTTCCTTTGTTTTCCTTACACTGATTTGCAAACACTACAGAATCCATAATACGACAAGAAAGCTGAAACAGAATTACTAAGTACCAGAATAAGGTTAAACCTATGCAAGCTGTTAGAAGCTGGTTGTGAGAGAACTCCTGGCACATCAGATATCAATTAGCTTCCACCTGCCCTAAAAGAAAGCCTATTCCTTTAGGAGTATATGAATAATTTAAAACACATGCCAGACAGATTGAAAGGAAGACTCAAAGGGGAGAAACACTGCTTATTCTCTTATGTTTTACATTTAATAGGGTGAAATATAGATAAGAAAGGTTTTAAAATATGTAAGTCAAGATATTAAAATACATGTGATGACTTTAATTCAATGAAAATTAAAGAAGAGAGCATGACAAGTTCAAATAAGCCACACAGCAGCCTCCTCATGCACTGCAAAGTATTTAAGAGCCTCATGGCTTCAGGTCCACTGGGAATAGAAAGAAAAGAACTAAAGAGAGATGGCTGCACACTGTATAATGTACCAGAGATTACTGTATTTATGCAAATAAAAAACATCTGATAGAATGACAAATACTAAGAGATCCAATTACATATAAGCAGAGTTACAATGCCTCATGAAATCACTTACTGCTTCACCAGTGAAACAGATGCGCAAACATGATTACAGTTGTGCTCTGTATACATACGACTACTTGGTTTCAAACTGGCTTACACAGACTAATTGTCTGTAAGCCAAACTAAAACTTCCATACAATCTTTATGCTAGGTGTAAAGCTCTTAGAGCCAACCATTCTAGTGAAAACGTGGAAAACTCCACAGCTGAAGCTGACTGCTACATTTTCACTGGTTTCTGAAGGTCCACCTAGTTTACGCTCTGGCAATAACCATATTTTTAAGGTGTTTACTAAACCCATTCTACAGCTTAATGAAATCCGGAACAAATTCAAATGAATTAATTTAAATGCTCTCTTACTGTGTATTTGAATCCCACAATTGTACTTCAGCACTGCGCAGAACTACTTAAAAATGTACACATATTTCTTCATATGCATAAAACCCTCTATATGGATATAGGCTTATGTAGATATACACACTCATATACATAAAAAAGAGCACAGTGAATTAGTATTTCAGTGTACTAAGATATGCAATATTCTCATATTTCAATTCAAGTATATGTTTTTCTGAAACACTGTGCACTCAGATGCACTACAACTCGAAAATTTTTTTCTTTTAAGAATTCTTAAACACCGTATTTACATACCTGATTTATTTAGAAGAACTCCTGTTGTATAGAGAAAGCTGTCCACTTTCAAAAATTGTTCTGGCACTGTCAGATAGGCTGTAACATTTGTAATATGGTGATTTGTTGGAAGCTTTATTAAAACTTTTGGAAACTGAACGCTTGGTTGAGATTTGGCATCTGTGAAAGAGTAATATTTTATCTTACCAACGGTAAAACACACAAACAGTGTTTTTATTACTGCTCAGAAATCCATTTAGCACAATCACCTGTTTTCACCATTTTCTCCACGGTTTGTGTATTTCTAGTCTAGCACATGTCACAACCACACATACAGCTACACAATTAAATGAAAATCTGGCTTTGAGTAGCTAAGTATTAGATGAGAATATGAACATGCTTAACTTTTTTTTTATGAGTGCAGATGGTTATCACAAAGTGTTTAGATTATGGTCTGTATACACTGAACTTACCAGACAGTTTTCCAGTAATTAAGACAGTGTCTTCAAACAGCCAGATATTAGCTTGACTTTGTGGGAACAATGAAAGCGTCACAGACGAGTATACTGCGGAAAGTGATAATAGTTGTTATACTGTGCAGCTGAAAAAAAAAACCTTCTAAGATCTCCAATTCTGAAGGAACAGTGAACAGAGCAGTTGAAAAAGAGTACACGAAGACTGGATAAATAAATTACTCCTTTTGTCCAGAGCAGGAGTTTTAGTGGTCAGGCAGGAAGACCTCTGTTTTATGTTTGCTACTGTCATATGCTTTCTACAGATAAACAAGTGGCTAGAATTCTTAAGAGTCCATCTCTTTACCAAAAAAAAAAAAAAAATTATATATATATATATATAGCTTGTTTAGCTATTGCATGCTTCTGAAACCCTTCTGAAAGGAAGCCATAACAACGGGTTATACCTGTTATACAGGACTCAAAGCACTGACAGTTCAGGAATCACTAAAGACAACACGGTTTTTGTCAAAACACATTACCAGCCCTTAGTTAAGTCTAGGTAAATAAATTTTCAGAATACACTCACAGTATCACATTATTACCTAGAGTTAAAAAAGGCTATTTTCTGTTTTACAATAATAAGAGTTTTGACAAGTCTTAACAGATTCGTTCACCCTTACATCTGCATTGACAGGCACCACCTCCCCTGACTGATTTCATTCAGTCATCTTCAGTTGACAGTAACTACCCAGACTGCTGAAGAAGAGAGAACTTTAATTACCAGCAGATACAGTTTAATAATAGGACTGTAAGAGGCTTACGTACTTGGCATCTTCCCAGTCTTCCAAGGCAAAGGTGTTAACATGTAGCCATCCTTGTATGATACGATAGTTAAGCTTAAGTCTAATTTGTAAGGAACTTTTATCAATACTGCTCCATCATTTCCAGTAAGAGTAGAATTTGTCTTTGTGTAGTTAACAAACACTTCTACAACCGCTTGTCGCAGGTACTGATGACTGATGATGTCATTTACTTGAACTTTTAGCGTAAAAACAGATCCTATTAACAGAAAGAAGAAACAGGAGGTCATAATACATCATAACTAAGGACCATAACTCCAATTTGTAAAGAAGTCCCACAGTTTATGCCTTAGCTATTCACCCACTGTACAGTGGATCTCAGTCTCAACAGAGGGTAAGCCAAAGGGAGGGGTATTCACACAACTACACACCAGAGGTGAAGGAAGCAAAAACCCTTGAGACAGGGCACAAAGATGCCAAAAAGTGTTGATCAAACTCACAAAATGTAATACCTAACCAGTGAGAAAAAAACAAACCACAAACAAACCAAAAAAACCCAAAGTAATTCTTCCCCTTTCTGCTTAAGCTTGAACAACGCATCTGTGACAACATGACCTTCAATGTGTCTTGCAAGTGCCCTGCAATACCACACTGATAATACAGACGGCCTTGTTATCCTTGCCTTGGGTCACACATTTAAAAATGCACCCTGAGTTTCTAAAAACAGAGCGCCGAATGTCTACAGACTGTGGGGTAACGCATTTTTACATGTGTAAAATTACTATCAAGTAACCAAATACATCCAGACACTTTGACTGTTTTAATCTACCCTTTCCCACCAGATTTACACTTCTGGTCTAGTTTTCACCTTTCTGTATTGCGACTTCTAAACAGTGTTTGTCTATTGCTAATTAGAGGATCTGACATTCCTTTACGATGCCGAGTGTCTTGCAGGGATCATAATTAGTGACTGAGCAATATGCTGAAAATAGTAAGTCTGCTTGAACAACAGTCTCAAGATGCTCTGAATTACATTCAAGTTCTCTCCCATTTTGATTGTAAATAAACTATTAGGGAATCTTTTCATAGACAGCAAGTACATGAAAATAGGCAGAATTCCATGTTGTTTCTAGTGTGAAATTGTTATCATAAATTATAGTATCTATGGATCACTGTTAAAAAGGTTTCAAAAACATCGATTTTCCAGTATTTTGGTTACAGACATACTCCTGTTCAACACCTTTGCAGTACCTTATACCCAAATACTTTCAAATACATTAATTATAAATATGCATTTTTATTTAGGTCAAATGTCAGGCTAAGTTTGTTTGAAATTTCTCTACAGAAAACTGTAGTTTAATTTCATTATGTTATTTCCTCTGTAATTGAGACTGACACTGCATCAAGAGATTACTACCACTGACTTTGATTTAAACGAAAAGGCCTTGAGAAGCCGAGCGCAATCTATCAAAAAAGAGAAACAAAAAAAAACCAAAAAAAAAAAAAAAAACCACACTGCACACTGAAGACATCCAAGTGAGGCCTCTCTGAAATAAGTGTTCATTTAGATCTACTGGATGCATGGAGCATACCATATATTCAAGCAAAAAAATGACCTGCACACATCAAAAGCTACGTTGGTCCCAATTTATTACTATTTATTGCATACACAGCAAAAGCTTACCAGCTGGGCCAGTTTGGTTCTCTACAGTCTTAATAGAAAAATCTACATCTCCTTGTGCAAATTAATATATACTTTCAAAAAAAAAAAAGATAAAAGATCCCAGTAGTACTAAGACATTGTTGACTGAAAACAGAAAACGTACAATAATCTTAGAAGGTCATCTCTCTTTTTCCCTTAACCATCATATTTCAAGAATAAAATTGCTTTTAAATTGCTGTTGCTAGAAGATTTTTAAACTACTAATGATTAAAAAACAGTGTGTCATATAAGGAAATTATGGCTACTAAACACATCTTCCAGACACTGATCCAGTTACACATATACTCACGTGATTCCAGTGGTTTCTAAAACTTGGAAGACAGGTCATTGTCAGTTGCCCAATGACTATGCAAAAGGCCAGTAAATAGGGAAAACTGACTATGTACAATATTTTGATCCTGCGATCACTTTGAAGCCAGGACTATCTCGTGAAATTGTATTTAAAAGTTAAGAAATTCAGTAGTACAAAATTCAAGCTCATCCCAGCAGAGCCACTACCAGAAATTCCTGCTAGAAACTACTATTTTAACAGCTGGAATCAAGTCAGGAGAAAAAGAGCCTAGTATGAACAGCTGAAATAAGTAAAAAAACCCCACAAACCTAGAATGTACTCAGAAAGACACTTTCGATCATTTCACACTTTTAATGTGTATTTTTCCATTTCCTGCTAATATAAAGCCTAATGAAAACACAAGGGTGAGGGAATAGCTACATTCCTCCTCCAGCTGTTAGTAAATTCAAAGGTTATTTGGGCAAAAATATTTCTTTCATCTCCTCCATTTACAGCCATATTAAAATACACTTTTTTTAGAAGCTTTTGGCTGAAAAAAAAATTAAGACTGCTACATAGAAAGCTATACTGTTTTACTTTCTCATAGTGAACTGACAAATACCATCGGCTGCTCTTAGCCATGCTCAACTTTACTTCTTTCTCCCATGGGTTCAGAAATTGCCTCAGCACTTTTCAAAACTGATACTCTGCCCGAGATGGTGTTGGGAAGATGGAGAAGCGCGGTTGTAAATGCAGACTGAAATCCTGGGGGGTTACGGAGACAAGGGTCTCCCACGTGAAAACACACAGTCTTATACAACGCAAGCTCTGAAAGAGTAACTACCTGCGTATTACTGTCCTATGTAAGCAGCAGCTACTGAAATGAAAAATACTCACTTCACTAATATTAAGACAAAGATTAAAGGAGACTCGATCCCTAGCTCTCGTTGCTTTTGGCCTTATCTTTTCTGTGAACCCAAGAGTCTTCCTGACAAGGGAAAGTATGCCAATCAGCTGAGAGTTGTTCCCTCCCTGCAAGTAATATGTGAGCAAATCATTTAGACTTTCTAGTATCAATCAGAACACACTCTGACAATAAGTCACTTCAAGATTGTGTGCAATGGTTTTGGAAAGACTTTTTTTTTAAAAAATCATCTTTCCTTTCCTCAATAGTAAAAGTGCAGAAGACACAAGCACACACTATTATGCGTCCAAATCTAAATGCTAGTGAAATGACAATATATGTAAACAATTCCAGTCTAAAAAGTCAGAATCCAACAGTATCAATTTCCCCCCTCCCTGCCACATTCCACTACTGTTTTGTATAAAATGGAGCGTACCAGAGCAACCTACAGCAGGCCAGCTGTAACAGCCTAGTTAAAAGCAAAACAATCATAAGGTCCTAAGAGCTCAGGCTGCGTGTGCAGCGGTGGTCCAACACGTACAAATGATTGGTATCTTCCCCAACTTGATATCCCCTGACCAGCTCCTTCACGTCCCTTGCATGCATTTAATGTGCAAATTTATCAGACATACTTAATGACACTGAGTTAACAATGTCATATTAACACTCACAACATCTAATTTGCAATGAAAATCCCATCTTTTTTTTCTTTTTCTTTTTATAAAGATCTTAATGCAGATGTCCTTAAGGACACTTACGTCTCTTACATGATGGAGACTGCAGTAGAATTTTTTAATCACAGTAAAATGTACTGAAAAACATTTCAGACAAAAATGAACTGTTGGCTAACTGTTTAACAAAATCAAAGCTGATAAATTAAACAACAGATGAAACGTGCTTTTTTCTGGTCATTAATAGTTGCCAAACGCAAGTAGGTCAGCTGTATCTCAATATTAAATACGTTTGACAGAACTCCTACAATTAGAAGAACGAACTCAGTCTTCACTAATTTGATTTGTGCTGCCTCAGAGAAGGGAGGTTTGCCTCTTGGCAAGCCCACTGGAAATGCCAGCTTTTACGACATTTAAATGTTTGCTGATAGATGTCCATACAAATGCAGCCGTTATTTAGACAAAGGGAAACAAAGCCTTCACCACATTTAGCTACTTCAGAAATATCACAGCCAGTAAAATGACACCTCATTTCTTTGAGCAACAATATCTCTAATGCCTGGAATTTGGCTTCACATCACTGTCCGAACTCAGAAAGGGTATCACAGAATTAAGCCAAAGAACTGCTTGGAACCCCAAGCAAAACATAACAGTGCAAAAAAAATCTCTCTTTATAATACCCCTATGTAATATGTTCTTAATTCTTTACCTGAAGATAAGTTTGTCATGTGGTTACTGTATTCATCTGAGATTTAATGGACATAGTCAAGGCCAGAGACCTTACAGGCACCAATACATTCCAAGCTTCCCTCATCTCATGAACTGTGAGATACAGCAGCGAACACACACAGGCAGGGCACTGCCCTGGAAGCATTCCTACACATTCAGCTACCCAAGGCCCTACAGCAGAGAGGCCCTACAGCAGAGAGGGTCCACACCTCGGAGGCGGCAGTTACTCTTCTCAAGCACACAGACAACTACCCAATTAAGCAATTAACTTACCGAGTGGAGGGAACAGTAACAACAATTAAATTATTCATTAGTTCCTTCCTTAGGAGGAGGCTTTTCTCATCCTTGCCTAGAGACGCTTAAACCCATGCCAGAACAGGCACACGCTTACGTGTGTTTTATGGAACCTGCCTAGACTGCATTACCACGCTCCCAGCTAACCAGACAGATAAAATGTGTGCTGTGCAATTTGGTTGGTCTTAGCTGACTGAACAATCAGTTTCCCATCTTCTATATTCATAAAACACCATATTTTTTGGCTTAATATAATTAGAGATGTGAAAGGTGCACTGATCTGTAAAGAAGAAATCACATGTTCTACGAATGTAAGATTTTACTATCCATTGCAATACTGCAAGTGTATCACCACTGGGGGAGGGGAGGATAAATCAATATAATACATAATCTACACAGTCAACACATATCTGGCTTTAGTAAAAAAAGGTCATATAAAAGCAATCCTCCTACCCACAAAAACCAATCATTACTTCTTAAAGTTTCCTGAAAACTACAGTAATGCCAGTGACAAACTACAGAAGCATACCTAGAAAAAGAAAAAGCCAATAAAGCTCATTAAAAATCCACGTACACGAAGGTGAGTTCTGGCAGCAACCAACTGACACAGCAATGATTTAGTGCTGAAGTAAGCCCTCCTCATCACAGCGTACCATCAGCCTGCGGTCACCTTTTGTTCTTTATTAAGGTACAATGCA